TATAGGTGGTTATAACCCCCCCACCCCCCCAACTCTATCACCAATTCAAGTTTGACCCAAGCTGGTTTTGGAAGAAAGCCTTTACCATCTGATGACTTACAGAGCAACCCAAAGCAACTTCCTGGTCTTGGTTGAGTTTCTAGTGGGTAAGCATGCAATTCATAAAACCCACCAAGACTCAGCCCCCTTGCTGGCACTCTTAGCAAAGAATCCCAAGATGGGCAGGGTATGCAAGCTGCTTTGCACCCTCACCATCTGCAGTGCTCCCTTTAAGTCAGGGCTGAAACAACTGATCAAGCTACATGGACATTACTGCCTTGCAGCTCTCTTCTACATGGAAGGTGAGGATGATCCAGAGGGTCCATTATCTCCTACATATCTCCTGAAAGATCATGGGCAGGCTACTTTGAGCCTTTCTGTGCCTGTTTCTCATCTGTAAAATGTGGATAATAGCACTGCCCTACCTTACAGCATTGCTGAGGATAAAGATTGTGAAGTGCTCAGTAGCAACATGACGTTAAACATTTAACTGATAATCCAGGGATAACCAGTTATAGTTTACCTGTTATCATTTAGCACAGAGCAGGGCACAGTCTGGCAAAGCAGAAGGGGAAAGTGAAGCTGTGCAATGCTCCAGCAGGAACCGGAAGGGGGCAAGGCAGGTGGGAGGGAGGAGTGAGGAAGAGGGGGGACTAGTACCTATAGCTAGGCTCTGTAGACCCCGGTGCAAGTGCTTGCAGCCTCCACCTGCCATGAGCAGCCCAGGCTCCAGGCAGGCCCGTGCCAACCACCACAGAGCTTGGGCTGCTCGCAGCAGGCAGCGGGGGAGCTGCAAGCAGCTGCACTGGGGTAGGCAGAGCCTAGCTATTAGGTACTAGTTCCTCCTCCCTTCTCTCTTCCCCTTCCTCTGCTGTCCAAAAGGAAAGGAGCATGCTTCCCGGAGGGGGAGCTGAGCAAGTCAGAGGCCGCTTTTTGCAGGCTGGAGCACAACACTGCATTGCTTGTCCCCAAACGGATGTGGCACCTTCTGTTGCTGCAGCTGCCAGGGGGGCCCAGCCCTCAGCTGGACCCATGGTGGCTGCAAGGCCTGAGAGGGCCAAAGTGGAGGTAGAGGGGATGTGGGGCAGCTCCCCCAGCCCTGCAGCTCAGCCCCACAGCATGCCCCGCTCCACAGCCTGGAGAGGACCCACCTGCCTGGCTCGTGCGGAGGCTTGGATGGACAGTGAATGCGAGAGTGCTGCCAGGCTTGGATAATGCTGTTCTTCAAAGCACACCCAACAGCCCCGAGTCCCCGCTGCACACTGGGAGGGTAGAAGTGCCCTGCCAGGCTGAGCAGGGCCTGCCTGCAGGCTGGGCCAGAGCAGCCCCACATCGGCCAAGCCTGCAGTTGTCATACCAATTAACTGTTTAACCACTATAATTACAACACATTAAAGGAATTTTTTTTTTTAAATCGGTATTTTCATCCCTAGTGCTCAGGTATTACATTAACAGGGCCCATGTGTGTATCTAAAATAAGTATCTGCTCACTGTACCTACTCACCTTTACAGGCTTGTTGTTTGAAGTTTCCAGCTACCTGCCTGACTACAGACACCTAATTAGTCTGTACTGCAACAGACTAACGTGCCAGCAAATGTGGGGGACCTAGTCTTATGTCCCTGTGATTATTTTAAAGAAGCCTGTGAAAAATAGTCTAGCACTTCCAGAAATAAACACCCCCTACAGAAAGAAGCCTCCATGCTTACTTCAGGACTGGCTCTGGGGTGAGCATGGTGCAGTCTATCTCTAGGATCTGCTCCTCCTGGATAAAGTGCTGCCTCCAGGCTTGGATAATGTTGTTCTTCAAAGCGCATCCAACAGGCCCAAAGTCATAAAGGCCACTAACACCTGTGAGAGAGATAAAAATAGGGGTCATGTAATCACTTGCATATAAATTTTGCCCACCCATTCCAAAGTTCCACTCCACGGGGGTCATTCTGGAGTTATTAATCGAGTATGAAAGACTAGCTATGACAACTAACAAGAATGAACCATGTTCCATTGCCTTAGTGCACTTGCAGTGTAGCAGATGAACATGCAGACTGCTAGAAGCAGACACAACTCAGCACTTATAAGGACTGAGGGAATGGTTTCCATACTTCACTCAGACAGGGAAGAGTGATCAAGTTATAGCAAAAGCCTCCAATAAAGAGACTTATATTTTCCTATAATTTTATACACCATATTTCCTCCACCAACAAATGATTGCTGGCAGGTTTGGTGGAAAAGAAATCGAAGGAGGGAGCCAAATACAAAGAAAAATGGGATAATTCGTTCCAAGAGCAAATGATTACTGTAACAGCTGCACATCCTACAACCATCAGTTTAAAGTGAAAAATGAAAGGAAAGAGAAAACACTGTTACAGTAAAAGAGAACAGAAAGAGAAAGGTCTGACCCACAGGCCAGTAAATATCACACAGAAGATGCAATTCAGATTCTGAAGTCAAATAGGAAACACACCCCAACAGACTGCTCTATTATAAGCAAACAAGTTCTGAACATAATTCTTTGAAAAAGTTTAAAAATCAATTTATCCACTGTTTTAATACAACTCTTTGACCACGGTCAGAGTACGAAGATCTGAAGTTTACAGCAGGGTGTGATATCTAAGCAACCTGTTAACATTAAGCTCATCCATGAAATCTCAGCGTAACACACACAAAATGTACAAACCATTTTGTCCTGCAAAGATGTTCTAGTGTCATGTTGCTGGGTATTTTGTTTGTATTGCAAAGTGTGTTCTTGTGTATACTGTTGTAGTTTAAATATGATTATGTCTTTGTATCTGATGCATTCTGGTCTTGGGTAAACTGAGGAGGAATGTGCTGTCTGAGCACAGAGGCAAAAAAGCCCCGTGCAGTGTTGTGAAACCTGTGGCTTTTATTTTGGACTCCAGCCTGCTGTTGGTTTCACTTCGATAGCAGCAGGGCAGAGCAGATCCTGAGCTTGATCGACTAGACCGGGCAGTTTTCATTCAAATTAATTGGATAAGACAGACACTGGAAGCATGGCAATCCCCGACTAGAAAACTTGGGGTGATGTTATGCCAAGGTATATAGGAGTCTTCCAGCTGCAGCTGAGGAAGCTGCAGAGCTAGAAAGCTGTACTGGGAGCTGGAGAACCTGGCAGGGAAAATACCATGATCACCAGGCCTCTTGTCCGGTAAGAAGTGGTTTTCCAAGGGTGAGACTTGTCCCTTACACTCTAGGCTTGCTGCCCTCTTAGAGTTTCTCCAGATGCAGGAGACCCAACTGCACAATTTTGCAGTAATGAGGGATTTGCTTTCTTGTCTTCCCCCTGGCTTGCTCCCTGGCCTTTTGGCTAAGAGCAAATGAGACTAGAGGGCATCAGAAACCCAGGGTCCCTGGGCTTGCACGTAAGATGTTGGCCATAGACTTGGGGAGCATCTGAAGCCCCAGAGGAGGCATGTTTACATAAGATGCTTTACTGCACAGCAAACTAATTTGCTGAACAGTAAAACGCCACCATATACACATGCATGGCAATTAGGGTGCAACAGACTTTACAATTTACTGCGCTGCCAAATACCACTTGTATCTGATGGGACTATCTGGCACACCAGTAAATTACTGTGCTTAAACACATGTGTAGACGGTGATGTTAGGATTAGTTTAATGGAGCTCAAATTGAGCCAGAATATATTCACTCCCATTAACTGCACACGTAGATGCACCCACTAATGAGTCTGGGAAGGAGGATAATTGCCTAGTGGTAGAGACACATGGACTTGAACAATTGAGCTCTGCTCATCTGAAACTTGGAGCTTAACTATTGGCTTTTGCCCAAAAGAATTCGGAACTGATTTGGCCCTTGAAACAAACAAAAAAAATGGAGAAAACTGCTCCCCTTGGGGAGGGATGGGGGAGTGAGTTGGAGCTATGTGAAGGGAAAATCTGGGGTAAAGGGAGAAAGAGTCTGTCTCAAAGTTTGGGCTCCTCTCCTCTCCTCTCCCTCTTCCCCACCCCCCTTTTCTTTTGAGTGGGATGACACCATGTGAGTATTTATCCCTGGGGCAAATTTGGGCCAGGACTGAAGCCTGGCTCTTTGATGCCATTGCAGTTTCTTGCATCTCAGTCTAGCTGTGTGGCTGAGCCTTGCTCTATTCTGGGCCCTGGTACAAACAGGCCCAACTCTTCTGGTTGCATTAGCAGCTTCTTTGTCTCAGCCTAGCTGTGTAGCAGGCTCCACGGCAGGACAGGCCTGGCTCCTCCGAGTTCTTTGCAGCTATTCTGCCCAGATGAAGCAGCTGGGCAGATTGGGATTAGGATTTCCAAGAGTGCAGTATGCTGACTGAAGCCACAGTCACTCCCTCAAAGCCACCACACGGGAGTGGAGATCAGAGCCCTACAGCTTCCCAGGAAGCAACAAGGGGCCCCTTGCATTGCAGAAGCACCAGTGCTCACTAGCAGGTCCCTGAGGCACAGCGAACCCCAAGGAACATCTCATAAGACCCTCCAGTGTGGACCCCCCCTCCACCTGATGCTATGTGGCAGGTATAGGGGTGCAGGCACCCAGAACTAACCCTTTGGGTGAGCCCCCCCAAGAGAGGGAGACACTGTAAACTAGAGACTGTACCTTGTAGTTAAGAGTGTTTAAACTGCATTTGGTGTTTTCTTTGCCTTTGTTTGCTCTAACAAATCTGTCCTTTTGTGTTTATACTGCTTGCAAGGAAGGGATTCTGTTTATGTTGGGCACCCCAGCCAAATTCATGATCCCAGGTTTCTAGGTGGGAACCTGAACCACAGTAAAAAAAAACTTTTGGGTACCCTGAAATTTGAACCCAGCCCTTGCTGCTGCTGACCAGTGCCCGGCGCAAAGGTTAAATCATATTTTTTTTTTTTTTTTTTTTTTTGAAGTGGCTCGGATGAGGAAGTAACACGAACACCTAGTTTTCAAAAGGTTCCCAGGCAGCCTATTTCCATTAGATTCCCCATACAGCTGACATTTGCTCT